AAAAAAATGGAAACAAAGTCTTTGCAAATAGGGAAGGGTGGATGGGGTGAAGGGAGGGCAGGGGAAGGGGGAAAAAATGAAACCAAGATACTCCTGTAATGGTACAAGATCAACATACATAAATCAATAAATGTAACACATTGTATTGATAGAGCCAAAGATAAAACCCATATGATCATCTCAATAGATGCAGAAAAAGTATTTGTCAAAATCCAACATGTATTTATGACAAAAACCCTACAAAACATTGGAATACATGGTCTCTATTTCAATCTGATAAAAGCCATCTATGAAAAACCAACAGCCAATATCATACTAAATGCTAAAAAACTGAAATCCGTCACACTAAAACCAGGAACAAGACAAGGATGTCCACTATCACCAGTCCTGTTCAATATAGTTTGGGAAACATTAGCCACACCAATTAGACAAGAGAAAGAAATGAAAGGAATAATGAAAGGAAATGAAGAAGTCAAATGTCATTATTTGCAGTTGACATGGTACTCTATACAGAAGACCTAAAGAACTCCACCAAAAGTCTCCTAGACTTCATAACCAAATTCAGTAAACCAGCTGGATACAAGGTCAACACACAAAAATCAATAATTTTGCTCTACAAGAACAACACACTCACTGAGAGAGAAATAGGGCAAACAATTCCTTTCATAATAGCATCCAAAAAACTGAAATACCTAGGAATAAACCTAACAAAAGAAATCAAAGACCTCTTCTCTGAAAACCATAGCACTCTGAAAGAGAGACTGAAGAGAACATCAGAAAATGGAAAGACATCTTTTGCTCCTGGGTAGGAAGAATCAACATAGTGAAAATGGCCCTACTTCCAAAACTTCTATATAGATTCAATGCAATCCCAATTGAAATTCCAGCAGCATAATTCATGGACCTTGAGAAAACAATCCAAAAATTCATTTGAAACAAGAAGAGACCTAGAATAGCAAAAGCAATTCTAGGCAACAGAGACATGGCAGGGGGTATCGCAACCCCCAACATGAAACTATACTACAAAGCTACTTTAAGAAAAACAGCATGGTACTGGCAAAGAAACAGACTTGAGGACCTGTGGAACAGATTAAAAGATGCAGAAACAACTCCAGACACATTCAGTCACCTCATCTTCGACAAAGGAGCCAAACACCCTTGCTGGAGGAAAGAAAGCCTCTTTAATAAATGGTGTTGGAAAACCTGGGTTTCAACTTGCCAAAGATTAAAAATAGACCTATATCTCTCACCATGCACTAAACTGAAATCTAAATGGATAAAGGTCTAAATATTAAAACAGAAATGCTGAACCAGCTGGACCAGATGTTAAGCAGAACTCTTTAAGACATTGGTGTAGGAAAAGATTTTATGAACAAAACCTCAGTTTTCTGTGAAGTAGCACAAATAATCAACAAGTGGAATCTCTTCTTACTAAAAAGCTTCTGCACAGCAAGAGAAATGGTCAACAGTGTGAGGAGACAACCCACAATGTGAGAAATAATTTTTACCTGCTATTCTTCAGACAAAGGCCTCCTACCTGGAATCTATAAAGAAACATAAAAAAGTCAGACCTCCCAAATTTAAAGATCCAATCCAAAACTGGGCATCTGAAATGAACAGACATTTCTCACACAAAGAAGTAGAAACAGTAAATAAGCATATGAAAAAATGTTCAACATCACTGGTTATTTGAGAGATGCAAATGAAAACAACACTAAGACTCCATCTCACCCCAGAAAGAATGGCTGCTATCATGAAATCAACCAATAACCAATACTGGTAGGACTGTGGGGAAAGAGGAACACTGCTCCACTACTGGTGGGAGTGTAGACTGGTGCAACCACAGCGACAGTCAGTATGGAGATAGAGATACCTCAAAGAACTAGGACTGGAAGTCCCATTTGACCCAGCTATTCCCCTGCTGGATATCTTCCCAAAAGAATTAAAAGAATCAGATCACAGTGATACATGTGCACCCATGTTCATTGCAGCACAATTTGTAATAGCTAAAACTTGGAAGAAGCCCAATTCCCCAACAACTGGAAACTGGATAAAGAAAATGTTTTTTTAAATAAAATGGAGTACTACTCAGCCATAAAAAATGAGAAATTGTGGCAATACTCTTAAGTGAAATAAATAGGACATACATGTATAAATACTGAATAGTTTCTCTAGTGTGAGAAATTAAAATTGTAAATACGGACTAAAAGGTATAATAGATAATGTGAAATAGGAAGAAAAAGGGTAAAAGGGAAGGGGAAGTGGGAGGTGTAGGGGAAAGAAAAGAAGGGAATGGAATTAGTAAAAAAATAAGAACCAAGAAAGATTATGTAAAGGTACAAATTCCCAATGATGAATGTCATCATGTTGTGTACCTAAAATGTACCAATAAACTTAATGAAAAAATCCTATATTCCAATAAATTAGAGAATCTAGAAGAAATTAATATTAATAGATTCCTAGACACACATTAACCAAAGCTAAACCAAGAAGATATAAAAACTCTGAATGGTCTCATAACAGGCAGTAATAAAACCCTACCAACAAAGAATATCCAGAACCCAACAGATTCACACCTGAATTTACAAGAACTCTAGGGGAGAATTAATGCAAATATTATTCAAACTCTTCCATGAAGTTAAAAGGGAAGGAACATAACCAAACTCATGGTTTGAAGTTAAGAATACCTTGATATCAAAACTGAATAATAAGTTAACAACAAAAGAAAACTAACAGCCAAATTCCTTAATGAACATATAGGCAAAAATCCTCATCAAGATACTCGCACACAGAATACAAGAAGTCATTAAAAAGATCATACATCATGACTAAGTTGATTTAATTCCCAGAATGCAAGGATGGTCCAATATATGTGAATTAATAAATGTAATACATCACATAAAATAAAGATTAAAAGCAACTGATCATCACAATAGATGCAGAAAAAGCCTTCATCCAGTCATGATAATAAAAACCTTGTTGAAAATTGGCACAGGAGGGTTTAGCTTTAAAATAACAGCCAAATATGACAAACCCACTGTCAACCACATAATAAATGGGGAAAATTAAAACATTCCCAATGAAATCAAGAACAAGATAGAACATTCATTTTCACCACTCTTATTTAATATTGTACTCAAAACTTTAGCCAGAGTAATTAGTCAAGAGAAAAATATGAAATAGATTTGAATAGGAAAGGAAGAAATTAAACTATCCTTATACACTGATGACATGGTCTTTTACATAAAAACTTTACATCAAAAAACTCCAGCAGAAGACTCTTACAACTAATAAAATAATTCAGCAAATTTGCACCTTATAAAATACACTCCCAAAAAGTCAATAGCATTCCTCTACACCAAAAATGAACTCACTGACAAAGAAATCAAGAAAACAATCTCATTCACAGTAGTTTCAATAGAACTAAATACCTAGGAATTCACCTAGCCAAAAAATGAATGACCTTTATAAGAAAAACTATATTGCTCTGCAAAGAGATTGAAGAGTACATTAGAAAATAGAAATACTGGATAGGCAGAAATAATATTGTCAAAATGGCCATACTACCAAAAATTATATAGATTTAATGCAATTCTTATCAAAATACAATGTTTTTCACAGATTGAACAGAAAACCTACAGAATGGGGGAAAAAGCCTTTTCCCAGCTATTCCTAGGATAGAAAACTAATACCCAGACTATATTAAAAATCTCAAAAACTTAGATCCCCTCCAAATAAAAAAAGGGCAGCTGAAATGAATAGACATGCCACAGAAAAAGTTAAGATGGCTAATAAATGCATAAGAAAATGTTCAACATCTCTGGACATCAAAGAAATGCAAATTACAACTCAGATTGCATATTACACCATAAAGAAGGGCTATCATCAACTAATCAAGTAATAATAAATGCTGGTGAGGCTGCAGGAAAAAGAAATTCTACACTGTTGGTGGGAGTGTGAACTTGTACAATAATTACAGAAATCAATATGGAAATTCCTCAAAAACATAAACTAGATATTCCATTCAATTCACCTTTTCCCTTTCTTGAAATCTTCCTGAAAGGATTAAAGACATCACATTACAATGTTACATACATACCCATGTTTATACCAGTACAATTCATAATAGATAAATCTTCCAATCAGCCTATATCTCCATCACTAAATGAATAGTTGAAGATAGTTTGGTGTTTATACATGAGAGACTACTATTCTGCCAGAAAGAAGGATAAACTTGAATCATTTGTAGGGAAATGGATGTACCTTGAGACCATATTATTGGGTGAACTAGACATACAAGTATAAATAATCTATGGTTTCTCTTATATGAGAAACCCAAAATATAAGTGAAGATCAAAATAAAAGCTAGATAATAGGAAATATGGAGAAGAAACTCTACTGGAATAGAAGCTCTCTTGCTAAAGATACCTGAGCTCATCTTGTGTACATACCTTTTATTCTGGTCATTCATTTGTGTGCTTTATGATCTCTATTATCATCCCCTGATAAATGTAGACAAAGTAGTTCTCTGAGATGTGAGCTGTTCTAGTAAATTAAATCATCCTGAGAAGTGGAGTCATAGGAATCATGATTTATACCCAATCAGAAGTTTTAACCTCTGTGAGGTTCTAACCCATTGCCTCACAAATACAAAGAATTGTTCTACCATAGAGCTAACACCCACGCCCAGTACTTTGTCTCAGCTTCGAAAGACTCTGGGACTCTCAAAACTTTCTCATCTATGATCTTCTTTAGTAGGGGACTAATATATACCTGAAGTTTAGTGCAACCATGGCAATGGTTATAAAATTACATGTACCCACTCAACTCTAACATGTAACATGTAAGCACTCAACTGCACATTAAGGGCCACTTCCTCTTATTGTGAAGATCCAAAAATCTTAATTCTTTTCAAACTACTGCCTAATGTAAAGTAAAATATATTCTTCTTCTAAGTCTGTTGCCCTCTCTTACTTTTCTATTCCATTTTTTCTACACTCTAGAGTACAAGCAAGGTCTGCCAGAGTGAGGCAGTGCTGATGAGCACAAACAGAAGGAACTACTAGAGAGGGTAGGCTAATTTCACATACAGGCATTTTTTCCCCAGTAGTGAGGATTAAAGCCAGAGTCATGTGCATACTAGACAATGCTCTACCTCTGAACTACATGCACAGCCCTTTTCTTTTATTTTGAGAAAGTATCTTACTAAGTTTCCCATGCTGGCCTCGGTCATCTCATCTCAGCCTCCTCAGTAGCTGGGACTGCAGGTGTGCATCCACCAGATTCAGGGAGTTATTCCTCTTTTTTTGTAAGATGCTTGCTTCCAGTGGCTTCAGGGAGAGATCACAAGGCTTGATACTTTCAAGACACTTCCTTTTCACCCTTCTCAATAAATTATAGAACTCCATGCAGGTGAATTACCTCATGCTACTTGGGTCTAAGAGCTAATTTCCAGCCAGACCCTACTCTAAATAGTAACAAAGTACCAAGGATGGTGGTACGTCTTTAATCTCAGCACTATGGGAGGCTGATGTGGGAAGATAGCTGTGAGTTTGAGACAACCTTGAGCCACATAATGAGTTCAAGGCCAACCTGATCTCTGCAGTGAGACCCTGTTTCAAAAAACGAAATACACTAGTGTGAGAAACTGAAAGTATAAATAAGGATGAAAATGATTAAAATGAATAATTGATAATTTGAAATAGGAAAAGGTCCAAAGGTGTAGGGGTGGTGGGAGGGGAAGGGGAAAGGGAAGAAGGGAAAGGAAAAATTATGAGAAAAGAAAAAAAAAATGGCACCAAAATCTATGTAGATAGGGAAGGGTGGAGGGAGTGAAGGGTGCGCAGGTAATGGGGAAAAAATAAGAACCAAGATATATCATGTACAGGTACAAGCATCCAATGATAAATGTAAACATATTGTATACC